TGTGTGTGTATGTGTGTTTATATATATATGTATGTATTTGTGTGGCAACATACATGATATACCATACATATTTACATCTTATTTCATCATACCAGGTTGTCGTGAGAGTATAAGCCCTGTGCCCAAAGGTCCGGTGAATCCTACATACGCTGTGTGGTTGGTCCTGCGAATGACACAGATGCAAATGGCATAAGTTACAATAACAACCAATAAGCATTTATCGCATCCCAACAACTCCAATTTTGCTTCGTGGTAGCGACCATTAGTTTCATATATGAAACACGTATATCGGGTTCTATAGTGTTGTTATGACCCAAGTGTGCTGACTTTCGCGATGATCAATGTTCTCGATCTACTAAATATAGTCGTACACTGTAGCTTAGCGCATGGTATTCAAGATGAGACGTGCTAGACTTTCAAACTCTGCCATGAAACCGAAACGAATCGATCAACGAAGCCACCCAGTGAAATTATCCCATATGAATAGTACCTCCCGATTGAGGTATAACGCAATCTGAGATTTATTACTAAAACCATGCACCAAGTCTACGATTAAAAACGGTACAAAGACAATACCTCAGGGTGACTGGACTTGTCATACACGATGCCAGATACATCCCATTCTTAATACGTATTGTCTAAAGTACCACAGAAATGGTAAGTCAACGCTCATACCTTGTGAGCAGTCCCTTCCGTACATAGTTCAATACCCGGTACATCACAACGACAATACACACAACCATACCATCTTTTAAAATCACATCACTCTATCCAATGAACGCCCAACCGTACTTACTTGACACCGAGCGAGGTCAAAGGATATATCCCAGGGGAGACAACATCGGGTACAGAACTCTTCGATATCAGACACCCATCACCGCACCAATCCGGCCGCTCAATCACCCCAATGGCAATCACATTCCTATCTTCATCAGACGACAGCACATCCTCTGTGTCCTGGCCCGTAAGTTCGTCTCTGTCCGTGCCCACTTGATCGGCCAGTTCCCCGTTCGAATTTGGTGGTGCCTCAGTCTCCTCTGTATCTGGGCTTTCGAGATCGTCACTTGTCATATCTCTGCCAATGTCAGATTAATTCGTACGTAGCGTTAGTGGTGTGTATAGACTGGCGAGCTACGGCAGGTCAACGCTTTGTTGGCCAACAATTCAATAGGTAGTCTTGTGTGTGCGAAGACGTGACAATTTTTATATACACTACCCAGCTTCGCTTCTACATACTATTACGATTTTACTCTGCTATAACTACCAAGAGGTGCAAATGTGCACACGGGATAAGATAGATATTGTACCATCTACTAATCGCTGCCCAGCTACATTGTTCACTCTTGAACATAGCCAATCTAAAAATGGAACGATGTACAACAAATTGAGGCGATCTTAGGTGCGAAATTGGGACTACCCAGGTTCTAGGCACAGGTTGTAAAAACAGGTTGTTGTATCAATATTTATGTATGTATATATTCTGAATGCATATATAGGTATGTGTGTGTATATGTTCATTACTGTCGCTAGTTCATCGTTATGCACAAACTATACACACCCGCTTGTCAGGTGAACGCTGGCGCAAAAAGGCTGCATTCGAGACATAACGCCATTCACCACTAACTAGATAAGAAATACAGGATATATCTATCACTGTTAATTTAGATCGAATAGATATCAAGATAAAACCAGGCCAATGGAGTTACGCAAAGAAATCTCATAGCTGGCAGGGCCCCAAGGTACCGACAGACACATACCTGTCGCCGCTTGTCCCATTTCCGAAGAATTCTTCCAGTATCGCAGACTCTTCCTCTACCAAAAGGCAAGGCGTAGAAACGAGATAAGTACAGTATTGGTCATAGCCTAACCCTACACCCTAAACCCTAAACCCTAAACCCGTAAAAACCCTGAAATCCTATATCTAGTTGCCCTAAACTCTTAAAAATTAGAAGGTATCAAAAGCGCTTTGTTCAGATAGATGACAGAGCGGTAGTATACTGCACCTGTTGCAATAGCCGATGGGAAAGAAACAAACACCAGCGATTTCATAAAAAGGAACCAAGTCAGGCACTGCAACATACATAGCTTATATCGAAAATTGAAATCCGAACAACATAATACATTTACTACAATCTCAAATATAATGAAAGATACACAGACACGCACATCGACTTAATCTCGTCCATGAGATCTCGCTAATCTAAAATCTTGGGGGGGGGGGGAATATATATAAAACAATCCTATCTGTACCATACACACAACGAACACGATCATATACCTGAGCTCAAGTCGCTGATAGCTGCCGACTCGTTCACACCCGGCACATACGTAGCGACAACCATTGGCATGTCTGTGGAACCCAGAACTTCCAGTACAGCATCGATGTTCTCTGAGGCGTACACATCGCCCTGCAGACCTTCTGAGTCTGAGTAAGAACTCTCGGCGGGTGTTTCTGGAACAGTATCGGGGTTGCTGGTTTGACCGTACGAGCTAAGCTGGCCGTTCAAAGAGCTCACTGTTGCAGAAGTGGGGTGTGTACGATGAGGTGCTCTGATAGCTGTACATCGATGCCTAGTACATGTTTAAACTACACCGCGCATGCTAGGGACTCGCTGTTTCGGATGTGGTGCGTGTGCGTGAGTGTACGGTGAGATGCCCAGCCAGCGGACCTAGTGATCAGATATACACGTGTACGCTGATTGAATGCTTCCCTGTCTATCACACATATTGATTGAATGCTTTCCTGTCTATCGCACATGTACACATGCAACAGCCGAGTATACGTACCTGAATCGTAGGTCGATAGGCAACGACAGATAATGTTGGTGTGGTGATACATGCCTAATCATTGAGCAAAAAGCGGTAGGAGCCTATTCCAAACCTCCTAATTCATGAATCATACATTGAGCTTCGACACACTACCAATATAACCATGCACCCGATTAATCGTTCACTGCAATTCCTCAGGCATGCTCGAGGAGATACACCAAGACACACTTGGTTACAGGTGAATACGTAGGATCCTGGCGTCACGCAATTGAGGGGACGTAATCCTGAATAGACATGACTCGTCAGTCAGAAGCACAACCCTTTTACTAATCCAGAGACACACCACTCTGAAGCGTGCGATCTGCAGTATCGCAATACATACGTTTGACCGGTTTGTTTATCGTGCTCTGGATCCAGTCGACGTAAAACGACACCTTAGTGTACACTCCATATTTGTTCGGACGCCCGCATCCATCACCCCAGCTGTGTACATAACAAGGTTACAACTTGAGAAAGGGAAATACTGTGTGTCATACCAAGAGTATGAGTTGTAATGCGGTAACTTGGCGTGAGTCATGCGTATAATACTAAAGCCACCACATAGCTCAGAACCGATGTTTGACTATATCTCCGACATTTTTTGTACAGCAAGACTATCTTAAACAATACAATGGATTGCCCGTCTATATCTATACATATCATATATATCTATATATCTATATATCTATATATCT